TGTATTTCCTGTTCACTCAGAAACAAAGCTGAGGACTAGGGATGTGGCTCAGGTACTAGACAACTTGCCTAATAAGCTGTTAAGTCCCTGAGTTCAAATTCCCAGTTCCACAAAAATAATAATAACAACCATTTTTTATTAACAACGTGAGTCTCTACTGGTAAAAATTGGCTTATGACAAGGCATTTAATTCCACAACATTCTGTCCATCAGAAACTTCAGTTCTAGGGGCTGGGAAGGTGTCTCAGTGGTAGAGCGCTTGCCTTGCATGCCTGAAGTCCTGGGTTCGATTCCTCAGCACCACATAAGCAAAAAGCCGGAAGTGGCGCTGTGGTTCAAGTAGTAGAGTGCTCGCCTTGAGCTGAAGAGCTGAGGGACAGCGCCCAGGCCCAGAGTTCAGGCCCTGCGACCGGACCCAAAAAAAAAAAAAAAAAAAAGAAAGAAACTTCAGTTCTAAACCAAATTAAAAGATCTTTAAATAAAACATGTTTGTTGTTAGGCTCTGTTTAGGGAGAACACTGTTTAGGGGCTATAGTTAACTGCACTGGAGAATTCACCAACCACTGAGCATTTCATTTCCAAGTGTAGCAGCCCATTCAGAAAATAGTTATTAACATCCTGGATGTTTGAGGATACTCAATATGTGCCATTACACTGCATCATCTTCTCTAATACAGATCAGGGCTTTATATAGTGCTCTGTGAATCTAAACATTCTCAAATGGAACTCCTTAAATAATGGACATGTAAACAATAGATCAAAGGAGCTAAGCTTAGGCAGAACTTTTGAAAACTTGTTACAGAGTTTGCAAATATATGAGTAGTCTTGCATAGTAGCACATGTCAGTGATGCTTGGAGTCAGGCCATGGATTCAAGGCTAGCCAGGACTACAGACCACTCAAGTAGTAGAATACTTCCCTACCTGAACAAGACCCTGGATTCAATCCTGGGTTCAATGCTGGGAAGCAAAACCAATCGGGTGGCTCCACTAGGGTGTCAGTGGCCATCTGAAATTCAATAGTGTCTACAATTAAACTGTCTTACTTTCAGACCAAATCTTTTCTCTTTTATTCTGTATATCAATGATAATCACCAATACACTCACTCAGTGCTTCAAAGAGACTCTGGATGTCTTCTAGTCTGTTCTCCAGATTGCCTCCAGAGTAATCTTCCTAAAAGCTATCTCATCACAGCATATCCTTTCAGCAGGCTGGTTCCCAGTGACTTCAGATCAGTTCCAGGCACTTAACTTAGCACACAAGGCTTCTTAAGTGCCCAGCTATGTACCTGCTGGCTTCCTCGGTGCCATCTTTTCTCTCAAATCTGTACTCTAGACATGATGTACTATTTCATATCACCTTCATGTGTTATGCTCTTTCAAGCCTTTGTGATATTTTTCCTCTCTCTCTCTCTCTCTCTCTCTCTCTCTCTCCCCCTCCCCCTTGCGCACACGCGCGCACGCTCGTCATGGTGCTTAAACTCAGGGCCTGGGCACTGTCCTTGAGCTTTTTCACTCAGGGTTAGGGCTCTACTTCTTTGAGCTACAAGTCCACTTTCAGTTTTCTGGTGATTAATTGGAGATAAGAGTCTCATGGACATTTCTTCCCAGGCTGGCTTTGGACCATGATCTTCAGAGCTCAGCCTCCTTAGTAGATAGGATTATAGGTGGGAGTCACCAGCATCTGACTTTCGTTTCTTCCTTCCTTCCTTCCTTTTTTCTTCCTTCCTTCCTTCCTTCTCTCTCCCTCCCTTCCTTTTCTCTCCCTCCCTCCCTTCCTCCCTCCTTTCTCTCTTTCTGTTTCTTTCCTTCCTTCTCTTTCTTTCTTTCTTTGTCTTCTTTCCTCCCCTCCCCTCCCTTCTCCTCTCCTCTTTCATTCTTTTGTCTGGGTAGAACTTGGAGTCTGGTGACTACTATAATAGGCGTAGAAAGGGGTACTGAGGTTTTTGTGTAAGATTGTTGAATAGATAGACACAATTCATGTCTAATACTTCATGCAACCTGAGCCAAGAGTGTCATTGGAGACCCACTTCTGACCCCTCTTATTCCATGGGGGTCTCACATGTACTGACCCCATCTGTATGTCCATGCCCCGACAACTCAGAGATCACTCCCAGGGAAGAGGACCACACAGGTTCCTGGAGCCATTTCTGTAAGACATTCTGGGGGCTTACAAACTTGAGTTGTAGTTATATGATGCAGGTGGCAGGATTTCCTTGGGCTAAGAGCTCTCTTGTGCTGAATTTAGTTTCAGAAGGGCCAAACCAAGAATGATACTGTTGGAGAAGCCTATTTGAGAGAAAATTGTAGAATAGTGAAAGACTGAAGCTGTAAGGGAAATAAACCATTAATCGTGGAAATACAGGTGTGTGAGCTGAAAAAACAAGATTGTGGCCAAAGAGGATCTACTGTTGCTACCTCTAAGGAGCATCTCCAAGTGTGGTGAAGAACCATTAAGATTCTTAGAGTGAAGTATATAAAAAAACTGAAGTTAATGGAGTGATGAGGCTTATCTTCCTATCCTGAGATCTCCCAGGATGACTGAGGAGCTTAAAATAGGGAAGGCTGCCAAATACAGACCCATGATCTCAGCATGCTGGAGGAAAATGCGTTCCAGGTCAACCTGGGCTGCATAGTGAAACTCTGGCTCTAAACTAAATAAATAATAAATAAAATATAAGAACACAAAATCAAAGCAGTGGATTAATAAGACAACTTTGTAGACAGTTGGAATCAAGATTAGAGGGAATGTTTCTCAGGAAATAGCCAGGCAAGAGAAATAATTAAAATGAGCACGTACATGCATTCCAGAGTGGTGAGGAAGGGGATTGATTGAATGCAGACCTCAATGGCAGCTATAGGCTGCTATAGGAGAAACATTAACTCCAACGCACACACTAGCAGGATTTGCCAAGTTTTTAGAGAATTGGGAGAGATTTTCAGGAAATATACAAACCTTTTAATACTACACAATAGTACTATACAGGAAAGGGAAGGAAAATAGAAATTGTAGAGACATAGAGTCGTGGCATTTTGCATAATGGAGTGTCAGTGTGGTCCTGGCTACATTTTCTTTTTTTCTTTTTTTCTTTTTGTTGGTTGTGGGGCTTGAACTCAGGGCCTGAGCACTATCCCTGAGCGTTTTCCACTCAAAGCTAACACTCTAATACTTTGAGCCACAGTACCACTTCTGGTTTTCTGGTGGTTAATTGGAGATAAGGGTCTCAGTCAGATGCCAGTGGCTCACACCTGTAATCCTAGATACTCAAGAGGCTGAGATCTGAGAATCATGGTTCAATGCCAGCCTGACAGGAAAGTCCAAGAGACTTTTTTTTTTAATGGGTCATGGGGCTTTAATTCTGGGCTTGGGCGCTGTCCCTCAGCTCTTCAGCTCATGCTCTACCGTTTGAGCCACAGCTCCACTTCCGGTTTTCGAGTGGTTTTATTGGAGATAAGAGTCTTATGGACTTTTCTGCCCGGGCTGGCTTTGAACCACAATCCTCAGCTCTCAGCTTCCTGAGTAGCTGGGATTACAGGCGTGAGTCACCAGCGCCTGGCCAAGAGACTCTTATCTCCAATAAACTATTCAGAAAAAGCCAGTAGTGGCACTGTCACTCAAGTGGTAGAGCATTAGCCTTGAATACAGAGAGGCTTAGAAACTGAGCCCAGGCCCTGAGTTCAAGCCCCAGGACTAGTCAAAAAAAAGAGTCTCACAGACTTTTCTGCTCAAGCTGGCTTCAAACCACAATCCTCAAATCAGATCAGTAGTTAGTAGTTAGGATTACAGGAACTACATTTTCTTGTATGAATGTTTATTTGTGATGATGAAGGAAGATGGCTTTCTGTAATATCTTAGTCATATCTCAGTTCATATAATATTATCTGTTCAGCCCATATAGTGTATTGGGATGGGGATTCATGAAAGAAATGTACTGTATCAGTTAATGCTTGAGAAAATCTCAGTCTTATTTATAAAACTAATTGAACAGGTACATGACAGTAGTTAAGTATCTAAAATGAATTGCACAGATGAAAGTTAACAGAAGCTCAAGTCAAGGTGAGTTAGGATGGCCAAAGAAGCCTTGGTGGGAAGGAGAGGAGACCTATAAATCATACTTCTAAAGAAAGTCCAAAGTGAGATAAGCTGTGCTTGTTTTCTCTCATATGCAAAAGCTAGATCTAAAATACACTGGGACATGAGAAATTATACAGGACTATAGGCATTCACATATAATGAGACAAAAAGGATACTCAGGAGAAGAACAAAAGGCACAATGCCTATGTGCCTCTGATCATATAAAATAGTATTTATTAAAATGAACTCCAGAAAATAGAAATGAGGTTTTAGTTTTCTTTTTATCATGTTTGTTCAATTATCTGTACTTGGGAGGGTAAGAGGGGGCACAGATGGAGGGATAAAGGGTGAACAAATGCAGCAGTAATACTCACTAGACACTATGTTGGAAATGAACTATAACTTGTGCATGGGGATAGGTGGGGAAAAAAAGCTGGGAGCAAAGGGAGGGGTGACTTTGTCCAAAAAATGTATTTGTTACCTGACTTATGAAACTGTAACCCCCTCTGTATATTACCTTTATAATAAAAAATAATAATAATAATTTTTTAAATCCAGAATTGGGCACCAGTTGCTCACAACTGTAATCCTAGGAGGCTGAGATCTGAGGGTCGTGCTTCAAAACCAACCTGAGCAGGAAAGTCCATGAGACTTTTATCTTCAGTAAACTACTCAGAAAAAGCAGAAAGTGGTGCTATGTCTTAATTGACAGAGTGCTGCCTTTGAGCATAAAGAGACTCAGGGATAGTACCTAGGCCCTGAGTTCAAGCCCCAGGACTGGCAAAGAAAAAAAAATCCAGAATGTCAAAGCATACCTAAAAGTACTCAGAATAGCTATGGAATATTCATTTGTCCAGATGAAGCAGTGGAACCTGGTGATATCTGTCCATGTCTACACAGCTTACCTCTTTCGCCCAAGCACTTGATTGGATTTTGGGACACAGGACATAAAAGCCTTCACAGATGCACCTTTCTGTCAGTTACAGTATAGTATTCTGTACGATTTCTGAGTCAGAAGTTTCTCAGGTTTATATTTTGAAAAGTACCTTGAAGACACAAGAGACAATGAAAGTTTTTGAGACAATAAAAAACCTGGGCCAGGCGACAGTGGCTCATGCCTATAATCCTAGCTTATCAGGAGGCTGAGATGTGAGGATCGTGGTTCAAAGCCAGCTCGGGCAGGAAAGTCCTTGAGACTCTTACCTCCTATTAACCACCAAAACCAAAGTCACAGCGGCGCTGTGACTCAAATAGTAGAGTGCTCACCTTGAGCTGAAGAGCTCAGGGAACAGTGCCTAGGCCCCAGAGTTTGAGCCCTAAGCAAAAAAAAAAACAAAACTGGGATTTTGTGAAGGAAAAAAATCGATTTTGTTTTTAATTTTACAGTAAGAATTGTAATTCAGTTAGATTTCATTGTCAAGTAATTGTACATAATAACCCCTATAGAAAGTCAGGATCACTCTTTGTGGCCTTTTCCAGCTGTGGTAGCTGTCAGACACAAAACATCAATGAAAAGTTCTCACTAGAATTGTAAATATACAAGCACAGCTGGCAGAATGGCTTTAGGAAGGTGTCCCACCAGGTGCAGAGGCCCTGAGGAGATTATTAATGTGCCAGCATTGAATGAGCTTAGGACCGTAACCAAGGGCCACAGGAAGAATACTCAGCAAAATCAAGGTGGAAGAAAGAAGAAAAGAGAGAATGCCGAGAGCAAATGTTCTATGGATCTCATGTTTCTATTGGGGGTATAAGCCAGTCAGTCTCCTGTCTTATTCTCTTCCTCTGGTAACAAGTATTATAGATCCTGAAAGAAATTAAGAAAATTCTGTAAACCCATGCCGTTATAATTTTTAACTTTTGTTTTTTTCATTGTTGAGGTCTTTCTTCCATGTTGAGGCCTTTCCCTCATTAGCAGCAGTAGGAACTGTACAAAGGGCTGAGTCCCTTGTGCCAGATGGAAGTCCTGACACTATTTTTAGTTTAATTGAGTTAAAAATCAGATAAGTTGTGATCAAGTATCAACCTTAATATAAGCATTAGGTAATAAAGGAAAACTAGAAGAGATCACTTTAGTGAAATGCTTAAAGTTATTTTACTTTAAAGCTATTTAATAATGAAATTTTGCCCATAGTCATCATATATAAGAGAATGGTAAAAATGCTTTCAACATTGTTCTTCTACTTACTGTTCAGGTAATTGGCAGTACCAGACCCAGGCTTTTCATCTATTGTAGAACTTCTTGGCAACACCATCAGTCATAGTCATAGCTGACTCTCTTCAAGGCCTCATTCTGTGTCCATAAAGGTTGTAGGAATAATAGAATTTTTAGCCAACTGTCTACACTGAAGTTCACAATTTGCGCCAACATCAACATCGTAAGCCCTCTAGTCATCCATCATTTCTTGTACTCTGACCTCCACAGGAGGTTTTTCCCCACTATGCTTATTCCTCTTTTAGTTTTTATAAAAAAGCCTTTATCAGTTAGGATCCTCTAAGAAGCCAAAAATATAAAACCACATTTAAACTGACTTGAACACTACAGAGGATTTATTGACTCATACAACTGGAAAGTCTGGCTCTGGGTCAGGCTTCAGAGTTAGTCTAGGGGCTCAGTGATAACAAGTATTTAGTTTCCTCTCTATTCTACTATTCACAGAATATATTTCATCATAAGTCACATTCCACTTTTTCTCATAGGCTGGTTGCCAGCTGCCATCAAGGACACAAGCGCACTCAGTTGCAACCAGCGGGAATGAGACCTCTTTCTCTCAGCAGCATCCTGTGCATGAATCTTGTGATTAGAGGCAGCCACTTCCAAAACAAATAGACTGACTTTAGGGTGTCCATGCAAAAAGGGAGCAATACATATGAAATTAGATAGGGAAAAGAGATGAATGGCTATACAACCTCCTTAAACTATTTAACCATCTACTACACCCTAGACTTCTCCATTGTTTCTAGACCATTTCCTTGATAAATAAAACTCTACTGTTTGATACTCTGTCTTAGATCTTTCTCCTCCTGACCTTTACTAAAATCCATTCAGCCCAAAAGAAAATTGTTCCCCCTACATTCTTCTTCCTTCCACACCCATACCACAAAGTAAGAAGGAAATATCAACATCTTTCTTCTCCAGGTTGTGCCTCCACCCACAGTGATGCCCTCATCAGCACCTCTACCACTGTGTAAAACACCTTTAAAGGGAGCCGGTATAGTTCTGTGATAGAGCACATGCATCTAGCCTGGAGTTGATTTCCAGCACCACACAAAAAATTTGAGTTTCAAGATCTGGTTTTGCCATTCTGTGTCCTGCATTTGATGTCCTTCTCCCAACCTTATTATTGGTCTTCTCCTTTATTCAAATACTTTAGTTAAAAAGTCTTCTGTGGTCCTGGGTGTGTGTGTGTGTGTGTGTGTGTGTGTGTGTGTGTGTGTGTGTGTGTGTGTGTGTGTGTGTGTGTGTGTGTGTGTGTGTGTGTGTGTGTGTGTGTGTGTGTGTGTTCGCACGGGTGCATGTGTATTGTGCTCCAGCTCTTTTGGTAACTATTGGTGTACTCTACTTGAACCAGGTCTTAAAAACTTTTCTATCTCTATTGGTTTCTGATTGCTTCTTCAGATCTCATGCCCCCAAAAGCTAGGATTATAGGCATGAGTCCATTTGACAGCCTGCATGGGTTTTTGTTTTGTTTTGTTTTTTGTTTTTAGGGTTACACCTTTATTCTTTATTTTGCATTGTTATTGTAAAGGTGATGTACAGTGGGATTACAGTTACATAAGTCAAGTAAAGAATACATTTTTTAAAATTTATTTTTATTTTTTTTTTTGTTGGTTGTGGGGGTGAACTCTGGGCCTGGGCGCTGTCCCTCATCTCTTCAGATCAAGGCTAGCACCCTACCACTTGAGCCACAGTGCCACTTCCAGCTTTTTTCTGCTTATGTGGTGCTGAGGAATCCAACCTAGGACCTCATGCATGTGAGGCAAGCACTCTAGCACTGAGCCAGCTTCCCAGCCCAAGAATACATTTCTTTTTGGACAATTTTACCCATCCTTCACTCTCTCCCAGTTTTTCCCTTCCATCCCCACCCACTAATTGTATAGTTCATTTTCAACATAGTATCTAGTAAATACCATGACAGCATGGTTTTTAATCCTAGCTCTCACCATATGACTAGTTGTGTGGCCTTGGGAAGTACACTTTTAGGGTTTTTTTTTTATAAAAAATAAATAATCATATTATGTAATTCATAGGGTTGTTGAAGGACTTGAGTGAGTTTCTGCATAGAAAACATTTTGAACAGTGCCTAAACACTCACTATGTAGATATTAGGAAATGCAGCTTTTTTTAAATTCATAATAAGCTCTAGAACTGGAGAATGGGTTGGAGAGAATTAGAAAGGAATGGGATGTATATAGGTAAGAGAGTTAAACATAGGATCAATGCTACTACTTTGACTGTCTTAAGGCAGAGATGAGGAATGACCTATGGACCATATAAGATTTGAGAAATGATTTGGTCTGGCTTTGCCAAGGTAACTATGGCCAGGAACCAAAATTCAATACATCTGGGAGCTTTTCACATAGCAACGTAAAATCGATACTAGCTAATACCATATACCAAATGGCCCCTGACAAAAAAGATTCCTTACCCCAGCTACAGGATTGGTGTCCTAATTCTTAAACTTTTTCTTTTTCTTTTTCTTTTATGGTAATGTAAGAGTGATACCAGAGATTATTTCCAGAAATGAATTCGAATCATTATGCTTAATTTTAAAGAATTTAGCATTCAATATAGAAGGAATATTTTAAATAATTCCTTACTAAGCCTATAATTTTTTTAGTGCTATATACATGGTTGCCAGAAGTTTGCACAGGAAAGATTATTAGTTTAATTTATAAAGAACAATTTGTGTATCTCTGATACCTAACTTTCCTTCCTCTATGTGGTTTCATTATACTGACAATTCAGTGTTTGCATAGTGCAAATTTCATTAAAACTTTAGGCAAAAACAATTTAAAAATACAAGGGAACTTAAGTTTAGGACAGTATGTGTTCAACTGAGAAAATTTGCTCAGTATTTTTTAAAAAGTTAATTTTAATTGAAATTTCCTTTTTTAATGAATATTGTTCCTTGCTTTGGACCAACAGAAATGTCATTTCTATTCTTTTAAAAATTTTTATTATTATTATTTTTAGAGTTGGTGGTTCCAGGATTTTACTCAGAATGACTTTGGGAAGAGATGTGGCATCTCCTCTCCAGGCAATGTCCTCCTACACTGCAGCTGGCAGAAATGTTCTAAGATGGGATCTTTCACCAGAGCAAATTAAAACAAGAACAGAAGAGCTCATCATGCAGACCAAGCAGGTGTACGACACGGTTGGAATGCTGGACATAGAGGAAGTAACTTATGAGAACTGTTTGCAGGTGTTGGCAGATGTGGAAGTGAAGTATATAGGTGGGTAGGAGGCATGAGCACACCCACATCTCTTTCGTTTTTGTTTTTGTTTTCTGTTGGCCATAAGGCTTGAAGTCAGGGCCTGGGCGCTGACCTTGAGCTCTTTGGCTCAAGGTGAGAGGTCTACCACTTGAGCCACAGTGCCACTTCCGGTTTTCTGGTGGTTAATTGAAAATAAGAGTTTCACAGACTTTTCCTGCCCAGGCTGGCTTTGAACCATGATCCTCAGATATTAGCCTCCTGAGTAGCTAGGATTACAGGTGTGAGTAACTGGCACCCAGCATACCCACATCTTGTTGTTTGTTTGTTTTTGGTCAGTTGTGGGGCTTGAACTCTGGGCTTGGGCTCTGTCCCTAGACTCCTCAGCTCAAGGCAGGCACTCTACCACTTGAGCCACAGCACCACTTCCAGTTTTCTAGTGGTTTATTGGAGATAAGAGTCTCATGGACTTTCCTGCCCGGGCTGGCTTTGAACCCTGATACTCAGATCTCAGCCTCCTGAGTAGCTAGGATTGCAGGTGTTAGCCACCGGCACCCGGGTTATACTATGTTTACTACTTACTGATTTTTGCATAGTGGCTGGTTCATTGCTCAGATTTAGATTCTCTAAGATTTAGAAATTTTATTATATTAGCAAAGGCTCTGTAAAATTATACTCATTCGTTGCTTTCTGGACAAGGACAGCATTTTGATGACATATATCAAGACTCTTAAGAGGCAGAGTACCTGCCTAGCAAGCTCAAAGTTTGAGTTCTAATGCTAGTCCTGCCACACACGCACACACACACACACACACACACACATACACACACACACACATAACACACACAGTGATACACAGATGAAGTTATTCTCTGTTTGGCAGAGATACTCCATGGGTGACTTCATATGTGTGTCCCACTCTATGTGCTTCATGTTTGGTTAAGTGCTTTTCTTCAGTCATTCATGACCAGGTTGATGTGCTAACCTAATAATTTAGACATTAAATTCATGTAAAATTAGTGGAAGAAAATTCTTTTTCTTAGTTTTTGTTTTGTTTTGTTTGTTGTTGGTAGTGGTTGTGGGCTTGAACTCAGGGCATAGGCACTGTCCTTGAGCTCTTTTGCTCAAGACTAGTGCTCTACCACTCAGAGCCACAATACTACTTCTGGTTTTCCAGTGGTGAATTGGGGATAAGAGTCTCACAGACTTTTTTGCCCAGGCTGGCTTTGAACTGTGACCCTCACTCAGCTCTTAGCCTCCTGAGTAGCTAGGATTACAAGCATGAGCCATTAGCACCTGGCTTTTCTTGTTGGTGTTTTTTTGTTTGTTTGGTTGGGTGTTTTTGAAACAAGTTCTTACTACGTAGTCCAAATTAGCCTTAAGTTTATGGTCCTCCTTCCTTAGCCTCCCAAATGCTGAGATTACAAGCATACATTTCCATACTCAACTAAAAAAATGCTTGCTTGTTTGCCTGCCTCCCTGCCTGCCTGCCTGCCTCCCTCCCTTCTTCCCTTTCCCTTCCCCTCCCCTCCCTTTCCCCTTCCCTCCCTTTCCTCTCCCCTCCTTTTCCCCTCCTCTCCCTTTCCCTTCTCCTCCCCTCCCCTTCCTTTCCCTTCGCTTCCCTTCCCTTCCCTTTCCCTTCCTTCCTTCCTTTCCTTCTTTTTTCTCTCCCTCCTCTCCCTTTCCTTCCCCTTCCCTCCCCTTCCCTCTCCTCCCTTCCTTTCCTTTCCCTCCTTCCTTTCCTTCCCTTCCTTCCTTTCCTTCTTTCCTTTTTCCCTCTCCTACCTCTCCCCTCCTGTCTGTGCCAGTACAGGGGCTCGGACTCAGGGCCTCATGCCTAAGTAATTATTTAAAATTAATTATTTAAAATTAAGATTTTTTTCTCAATAGCAGATCTTTTAAACATACTTTATGATTTGTGATATTTGCTTCTGCTTTCCCATAAAATTATCATTGTTGAATTTGGGAGATTTCTTGAAAACTAATTTTCTTTTAACTGTGAATGTTGTGGAAGTTCCTTCTGCATTCGTTAGTAGCTGTTAAAGCCTTGCTTGCCCAGTGGCCAGTCCTGGGCATCAGCCGTGTTTATAGCTTGGCAGGGAGAGCTCAAGTTGGCTTCCAGAGCTTTGTAGCAAAGGAAGGAAGGAAATGGTTTTCAGCATTATTGTTTGTTTAGTAATGTGTTTCCATTTTTAGGCTTCTGAGTTTTATTACTCATTTGAGTTTTTCTTAGTATCTTTTTGAGCTAATTTTAAACATTTTTTGAGGGTTTGGGAATTGAACCCTAGCTCTTGAGCTAATTTTTAAAAATAAGCAGAAAATGCATATTACTAATTCTAGCTTAAACAAATTCTGCATGTATTAGATTTTAAAATGTCTCTTCCATTTTTCCCTTCACTAAACAGGCATAAAATTTCATATTAAACGATAAAAGTATTATATACTTTGATTCTTTCTTTTAAAAATCTATATTATGTATTTATTTTAATAGCTCTGACAAAATTTTAACAAGTTTCATTGAAGCAATGTTTCAGGAAGTAAGGCAGCTTGCTTGACTTCATTTCTTGGTAAGAGACAGCTATATTCTCTACAGTGTATTACTTATGTAAATTTACCTGGTTAGGGTACTTTCAAAACACTGAAGATATATATATATATATATATCTTCAATATATATATATTATATAAATAATATATATATTGCCATCTTCATATATTCATTGTCACAGAATAAGCACAACCATCACCAAAAAACACTGATTTTTGGTGTATAGTCTTGATTATCTTACTAACTCAAGATTTTTGACTAATTAAAGTCAAAATACAAATAAAACTCAAGAACCAACTTTAGTAAAGATTAGAACAGACTCACCATCATAATTTAACAGAAATACCCCAGTATCTAGCTGCTTACTGGCTATGACTAAGTAAATTTATGCCAGTTCTCTGAAATTAAATGGATTATTTTATGTTTATATGAAAATATTTTATAAAATGACCTATACTGGTGGCTCACACCTGTAATCCTAGCTACTCAGGAGACTGAGATCTGAGGATCACTGTTCAAAGCCAGCCCGGGCAGGAAAGCCGGTGAGACTCTGATCTCCAATAAACCACAAGAAAACTGGAAGTGGCGTTGTGGCTTAGGTGGTAGAGAGCTCGCCTTGGGCTGAAGAGCTGAGGGACAGAGCCCAGGCCCAGAGTTCAAGCCCCACAACTGACCAAAAAAAAAAAATCCTTTGTCTTGCTGGGCACCAATGGCTCACAACTGTGATCCTAGATACTCAAGAGACTGAAATATGAAGATTGTTGGTTTGAAGCCAGCTCTGGCAGGAAAGTCTGTGAAACTCATATCTTGAGTAAACTACCAAAAAGCTTGAAGTAGAGCTGTGGCTCAAGTGGTAGAGTTCTAGCTCTGATCAAAAAGGCTCAGGGACAGCACCCAAGTGCTCAGTTCAAGACCAAGGACAGCAAGAAGCTTCCACTGCAGCTCAGAGTAATCCTACAAGAAACAGGTGCATCAAAGACAGAGGCAGACAGCCCCAGAAAAACATGCCATTGCAAGACAAAGCCTTCCACCAAAAGCACCCAGAATCTGTGCCCCACAAGGAGCCAGGACCCAAACCAACACCGACTACCCATAAACGTCAACTTGGTCAAGTACCTCCAGCTGCCTCTGTCTTTGAGGAAGGTACAGTGTAGGGAGACTTGTCCCTCTTATTCAAACAGAAAAAGCTTTTCCAGAATTTTCAGAGAGGGCACTTCCTTCCTCCTAAATAACTGACTCCTTGTTGGGAATATCAATTTCTCTCAATAAATGTTGTTCTGACAAAAAAAAAAAAAAAAGACCAAAGACAGCACCAAAAAAATTAACATAAAACAAAATTATATATGTTATATATATAAATTATATACACGTGTGTGTGTGTGTGTGTGTGTGTGTGTGTGTGTGTGTGTGTGTGTGTGTGTGTGTATCTGCCAGGCCCCAGACTTTCAGTCTCTAATTTTCAAACCCCTCACTAAGCCCCTCCTTCTCCAAGGCCTAACCTTCTCCATAGCATATCACTTTATGTCCCTGCCCTTGGGAGGGTCTGCCTTTGGTTAGTATCTTTGTCTTTAGATAGTTAAAAAATTAAAAAAATTAGACCTTAAATGTACTTCTGCCTTTTTTTGAGATAAGGTCTTACTGTGTAGTCTGGTCTTGAACTTACTACCTTTCTTCCTCCACCTCCAAAGTGCTAGGATTATAGGCTGTGCCATTTGGCTGCCCTCAGTGTGTTTTGATAAATGCTCAGACTACATCCTGTTGTTCATAATGATGCCAAGTAGGACAGCCAAGTCCTGCATTAGTTTCTGCCTCTTGATGGTCTTAGGAAAGTGTGCAGAAAGAATATACATCAGCATGTCATTCACCTGGAAAGAGGTATTTGGCTGCATACTGCTCTGATGAGTCCTGTGGTGTTCATAGTTCTTCTTTCTATCAACAGTGGAAAGAACCATGCTGGACTTCCCCCAGCATGTGTCCTCTGACAAAGAAGTGAGGGCAGCAAGCACAGAAGCAGACAAGAGGCTTTCTCAGTTTGATATTGAGATGAGCATGAGAGAAGATATATTTCAGAGAATCGTTCATTTACAGGTAAAAAGTATTACAAATCCCTTTAATATGGAGGGGGGGAAACCTACAAGAAGAAGAATAACAACAAAAACTTCCAAGGGGCTAGTAGGTGGCTCAGTGAAGGTGGCCACAAGCTTTGCATGTACTAGGCCCTGGGTTAGCGACCCAGAACGGAAAAAAAAAAAAAAAAAGAAAAAAAAAAAAGAAAGAAAGAAAAAAAGATATTAGTAAGCCCATAGACACCAGTCCATTCATACATTCATAAGATTGGTTTAGATATTTGGGCTGTTCATTCAGGACATTGTTGTAACGATTTAAAGTAGTTTCAGATTTGATTCCAATGAAGCTACTCTGACGCATGTAGATCATTGTGGAAACATTTTTAGTGTCTTCTACAATGTCTGTTAAGGTGATATCAGAATAATTAAAACTAACTGTGTTTGCATTGAAACTCATTAGATGAATTTAGTTACTTTTGGACACCTTCCTTGATAACCATATTTGTATGGTACTTTTTAAACTTTTAAATAATGTCAGTTTCTGTTAGAACTGGACACTTTACTAAATAATAAATATACTCCAAATTTATATTTATTTTACTCTACTGCTGTGATAAGAGAAACAGGACCACCATGATGTAATACATGAATTCTTCTTTACACTGGATAAGGTCTGAAACAATATCAAGTGTGCAATTTCAGTATATACTACTAAAGTGAATAATATTGAGGTCCCAAGATACCACCAGCTTAGATAGTAATCAAATATAATTTCCAAAGTGGATATCAAGTATTATCTTACCTCTCAGTAATTTTTCATTTAGGATTACATTTCATAGTTCTTTGTACAAATCTGAATAAACTTTCCAGTTATTTCCATTGGCATTTAGTATATTATACCAAAACTTAGTGGCCAGAAATAGCAAAAATCATGTTATTTTCTAAGTTTCTAGAGACCAGAATTTCAGGAAGGAACCAATTGGGAAAATCCTACTCATGTTTGGCATAGGTAACTGGAGTTGAGGCAGATTGGATCTAACCAGTTGTCTTTCTGTAATCCATAGATATTTTGGTTAGCTTTGGCTGTCATAAAAAAGTATCATAGCCTGAGTGGTATTACAATAGAAATTTATGCTCTCACAATTCTGAAAGCTGGAAGTATGAGATGATAGCCAGCGTGATCCTGTCTGGATGAGAGCTCTCCTGGCTGGCACTCAAATTGTATTCACACAACCTTTCTCCATCCACATGGAGAATGGCAGTATTCTTATTATACAGTCACCAATCCTTGTACATTGAGATCCCACCCTGTTGACTTCATTTCACCTTAATTACCTCTCCAAAAGCCTATCTCTGAATATTATCCCATTGGGATTTAGGACTTCAACAAATTCATTTTTAGAGCACACAGTTTAGTCATAGAATCGCCCTATGTGGCTAAATGGTGATACTTTACAGCTTGACTGCCTAGGGTGCTAGGACTTCCCTTGATGGAAACTCAGAACTCCAGTGCGAGGGTTCCATCAATCCATATAGACTCTGCTTTATATTTTATAACAAGTCCCAGAAGTCACATAGCACCACTTCTGCCATATTGTATAGGTTGATGCTATAGTTTGGCTCTTGAGAGCTCCCCAAATCCCATGTGTTGAAGGCAAGGTCTTTCAGTTTGTTATGCTACTTGGAGACAGTCAATCCTTTAGGAGGTGGAGCCTGGTGAGATCATTAAGATGTTATCAAAAGGTATGCCCTGGAAGAGACTATTGGGATCCCAAGCCTTTCCTGTTTCTCTTAGTCTCTTCACCATGAGCTTTACCATGCTCCTCATTATAGTAAACCACAAGTCCAGAAAGCTGTATCACCAAATGGCCACAGACTAAAACCTAAAACTGAGAGCTAAAATAAGCCCTTCTTCCCTGTAAGTTGAGTATAGTACTTGAGGTAATTTGTCACAGTTACAGAAAGGTAACTATCACAGTTGATCAGTCACTTAAGATATGACACATCTCAGTCTGGAGAATATCAATTACTTTGAAGTGTATCTCATATAATCCATAATGCCTAATTTTTTTACTAAACAGAGAGAGGAGTTTATAACAGACTATAAGGCTGACCAGTGTGTTATCTTCCTCCAAGTGTGTGACTAAAAACACTATTTTACCTTTGTACAGTTACAGAGCTACCCAATTTAACCTTTGTACCCAGGTGAAGTAGCTCTTTTCATAATTGGAAAGGTTAGAGGCTGAAAATGTTTTAAGAACCTAGAAGTGTTTCCTGCTTTGCCAGACACCATGTAGATTTCACATTAAATCTCTCTCTCGAGAGATTTAGTTTTGGATTCAATTTTGTACCTCTGGGGCAAGTAACATGAAGAGCAGATCCAGAAGAAATAAAAATGGCAAGTAAACATATGAAAAGATATTCAGCCTCATCAGTAATCAGGGAAATGAAGACCATAATAAGTTATTTTCATTTGTAGAATTGGCAAAAATTAAGCTGGGCTCCAGTGCCTCATACCTATAATCCTAGTTACTCAGGAGGCTAAGATCTAATGATTGGAGTTTGAAACCAGTGGGAGCCGGAAAGCTTCTGAGATTTTTGTCGCTAATAAATTACCAAAAAGAAGCCTGAAGTGGAAGTGTAGCTCAAATGGAAGAGCAGTAGCCCTGAGCAAAAAAAAAAAAAAGATTAACAGAAATTAAGGAGTCTGGCAATGCCAAATGTCTTTATGGATGTGCATCAATAGGAATGCTCAGGTACTACTAACAAGAGAGTAATTGGCTAAAAATAAGTAATTGACTAAAAATAACTAATTGATAAAGAACCTTAATATTATAAAGTGGAATCTCACCACCTCAGTGTTTTACCAAAGAGCACTTTTGCATTCATGCATAAAATTCAAAAATGTTCCTAGCAAAATAATGAAATAGACTTCCATTCACAAGAAAATGGATCTAGTGGGGCACATTTATGTAATAAAATGCTTTATAGCATTGAAAGGAATAATCTATAAGAACCATGAAAACATGGGTCAACCTTAGTAACAGCAAAAGAAATTAGAGTACTACATACAGCATGTTACCATTTTTGAAAGCTAACAAGGAAATAATGCATACATAAATGGCAAAACTGGAAAAAATGTTTACCACAAAATTCAAGATAAGGAAAAAAAATTCTCATTTAGGTACCTATGACTCATGCTTGTAATTTTATCTACTCAAGAGGCTGAGATCTGCGGATCAAGATTTGAAGCTAGCCTGAACAGAAAAATCCATGAGACTCTATCTCCTATTAGTCTATAAAGTATCTGGACTGTAGGTGGCTTTAAGTGGTAGAGGCACTGCCATGAGTTAAAACATCTTAACAAGGGTTCAAGGCCCTCATTTCAAGCCTTGATACTGGCAGTGAATAAATGAACAGCCAAAGAACAAATAATTCAGTCAATAAATAGGCAAACTAATTGAACTGACAGTTCTCAGAAAAAGAAATACAAATGGCTAATAAATACATGAAATGTCCAATTATAGGAAATGCTAATCAAAACTCTACTAAGATTTCATCTCACCAGTCAAAATGGCAATTTTGAAATAATTCTCACAACAAATGCTACCACGGATGCAGTGGAGAAAAGGAACCCTTAGACACTGTTGGTCAGAATGTCAACTAGAATAGTCACAGAGGGTCCCCAAAACTAAAAATAAACCTACTCTGTAATTCTCCCATACCACTTCTTGGACATGTATCTGTAAATCAATATACAAAAAAGATACCAATGTTTATTGCTGCTCTATTTACAATAGCTAAACTATGGAGTCAGCCAAAGTACCCAAGAACCAATGAATGGATAAAGAAAATATATATATGAACACACACACACACACACACACACATATCATGGAATGTTACTTAGCCATAAAGAAACTGAGATTGTTATTTTCAGGAAAATGTGTGGAAATGGTGATTATCATGTTGAATGAGATATACCAACCTTCAGAAAGCTAGATATTGATATTCTCACTTGTGGACTATAAACCTAAAATGATGATGATGTGGATAATGATGATGGCAGCAGTGGTGGCAGTAGCAGTGGTGGTGTTGGTAATAGTAATGGAATTTGAATGTAAAAAAAATCAACAGAAGGAGGAGAACTGGAAGAGTGAAGAGGATTGAAGGGTATTACGTGGTGGGGGGCAGGAGAGAGGTTAAACACAGCATAATGAAACAAACCAAATATTGGAAAAGGAAGGAGGAGGAAAGGGAGAAATGGGAACATGGTTCAGGGAGTGAATTTGTTCATAGTACACTATGTGCATATAAATATTACAATAAGAACCTCTCATATTACAAATGCATACTAACTCAAAATTCAGTAAACAGCAACAGACAAAAAGGTTTCACAATACTCTTTCTAGTCATATTGCTGAGAAAAAAATGTATAGTTAGTTGATGATAAAATAATACAGGCATATTTATCCCAGTGGCCTGCTAAGTAATAAATGCATAAGATGAAGTGTTTGACTGAAGAGGTTGAATTATGCAAGCTAGATTTGAGAACTAGAGTAGCCTATTGTAATACTTTTATATTTTTTCAGAGCAGTTGGCTTTGGTCTTGTCAATTCATCTTCACCAAAGAATGATTTAGAAGGGGAAGTTTTAATGGTACCATGTTGATGAATGGGACTTAGTATTAACATAATTTTTCTTGTGATGTATGTTCAACCCAGGTCCTTGCTAATAAGTACCCGTCTACTAACTGAGCCTCTCTCCCAGACCAAGCATATAATTTTAAGCCTATATAACTCTCCTACAATACCAGTGCCAAGTTAACTCTCCTACAATACTAGTACTAAATTAAAATTCAGGAACCAGTGCTTTAAAACCATGACCACAGGTGATATTGTCCAAAAAAATGTACTCATTACTTGACTTACGAAATGGTAACCCCTCTGTACAATACTTTAATAATAACAATAAAATTACATTTGAAATAAACATTACCACATTAAAAACTATGCTCAAAATTTACCATGCTTTCTTGATTTGGGAATGTGTACATCTTATTCATTATAATCTGAAGTATGTAAATTTTTTCAGGCCTTTAAGTATCTAGGGATCCAAGTGGGTGTGGTGATGCACACCTATATTCCCAGCACTTGAGAGACTGAAGCAGGAAGATCGTGAGTTGAAGGGCAACTTGGGGTATTTAGTGATACCCTATCTCACAAAAGAGTGGGAGAAAAGCTTGGAGATCCAGATATATAAATCATCATCTCCTGGGGCTTATTTTCTGTTTATGTGCCTTTCTTTTGTCCAACTACTTGACTTCTTTTTTCCTCACAGTACATAATACATCTTTTATAAATCTTCACTTTTTCCCCTCATAAGAATTAAAACTTCTCAAGGATATTCATCTCCATTTCCCTCTGTAAGTGTGCTGAGTGGAACTGAACTAATCCCACATAAAAGTGTCTTCTGTCAGTGTGGTGTCCTCACACCATGGCCATATAAAGGCCACACATCCTATGTTGGCATATTAGTGAGTATCCGTCAACCAGGCCTCTCTGTACTCTGGTAATACATTCTCTAAGAATACCCTCCACAGTATGGGATGAAAACCTAGCAATATGTCATGAGTTGAGACCAAGTTATTGTCTCTATTTTAGCTTGTAAAAATGGGTTCCAGTAGCTGGACACTGGTGGCTCATGACTGTAATCCTAGCTACTCAAGAGGCTGAGATCTGAGGATCATCGTTCAAAGCCAGCCCAGGCAGAAAAGTCCATGACTCTTCTCTCCAGTTAATCCCCAGAAAACTGGAAGTGGCACTGTGGCTCAGAGTGGTAGAGTGGTAGCCTTGAGTGATAAAGCTCAGGGGCAGCGCCCAGGCCTTAATTTCAAGCCCCATGACCAAAAAAGAAAGGGTTCCAGAAGCAAATTCACAATTTGCAAATCTACTTTGTAATTGGTATTTAAAACAAGATATAATCTCAGTCTTCAAAGTTCTTTCATCCGCATTATGGTTTCTACTTTGTGTATGTAGTACACACAATATAAAATCCCACTGAGACACATTTTAACTTACATGTATTAGAAACTGGAAATATGAGGGGATACTGGGCAGGAAAGGACAAAGTCTTATTATTAGTAAGATTTTGGGCGGGGGGATGGTCATGGGGCCTGAACTCTGGGCCCGTGCGCTGTCCCTCAGCTCTTCAGCTCAAGGCTAGCACTCTACCACTTGAGCCACAGCTCTACTTCTGGCTTTTTCTGCTCATGTGATGCTGAGAATCAAACCCAGGGCCTCATGCATGCAAGCCAAGCACTCTACCACTGAGCCACCTTCCCAGTCCATTAGTAAGAAATTTTAAAGAATGATAATGAATTAAGAACGATATATAGTATGGAAGAAGAGTAAACTCAGTTTTTTCTGTCACTTTACACAGAAGATTCTGTGTGATTTGGGGAATAACATTTAATCTCGGGTTTCTGTTCTATAAAAAAGTTTATAAGCATACCTGTGGCAGGGAGAGAGCATATTAACACATTTATATAAAAGCCCTTTGTTCCAGGAGGAAGTTAAAGGGAAAACAAATCTTGTCACCACAGAGATCAAGATAAAGATGACTACTGTCAGATCCTATAAATTGAAGAATTACTTTGGCCTTCCCCACTTTAAAGAGGAGAAACTTCACCCCAGGTGGCCTGGTTTACTCCAGGGAAGAAATACTTGTTCAGGAAGGAAGATGTAATTACAGTAAAGCTGTCTAGAAGATTTGGCGCTTCACTCTTAGAAAATCCTTGGACTGTGGTTCTGACTGTGTTTGGTGATTATGAAGGAGAATATTACAATAGGCTTAACAAGCATGTCCTCTGCAGACTGCCAGAGATTGTCTGAGCCCTTAGAGTCTGACTGACAAGCAATGCCTGGTTATAACTGAATCAGATCTGGGATTTTACTTTTTTCTTTTCTTTCTTTCTTTCTTTCTTTTTTTTTTTTTTTTGTCGGTCATGGGGCCTGAACTCTGGGCCTGGGCACTGTCCCTCAGCTCTTCAGCGTAGACTAGCGCTCTACCACTTGAGCTCAGCCCCACTTCCGGCTTTTTTATGTGGTGCTGCGGAATCGAACCTAGGGCCTCATGCATGCAAGGCAAGTGCTCTACCACTGAGCCACCTTCCCAGCCCCAAGGGATTTTACTTTTTTATTTATTAGTATAGCAGTTTATTGTGACCTTTCTATACATGCATACAATGTACCCCAATCAAATGTACCCTGTTTTGTTAGGTGTCATTTCTTGTGACAAGTTAAATATTTCATTATGTTAATTAATAATGTTTTAATTAGGCCTAATGCAGAGCTAACTTTTTTCACAGAATATCTTGCTACCTGTTTGTACCTATATCATCTAATTTGATCGTAAATGGTTTTAATTTTAATCTACACTATGAATTTTGAGTCTGCTATCCTGAGTATACTTTCAGGCTTTCTGAAATAGCCTTGCTACCAACATATTTGGCAAGTCTACTTCTGTCCACTGTTAAAGCCCCTTGTATTCCAGCACAGCCATGGACTAGAAACTCTGCTCTTTCAGCTGTTGAGGCTTTGTCCTCAGCTCACTGCCTGTCCTGTTCTCAACTTGGGGCCAACTGTGGCCCTGAGACCCAAGTGCTTATGCAGATATCCAGCAATATGCTTCAGCTCCTCACTGACTGATCTTCCGCTCTGGATCTCTACTTGCTTGCCTGGGTCCTTAGCAACTTATCCAACCTGGCCTGGCCCTATTCTTGTTCTCCCACCCCCTCAGCTACAATTTCCTGAATTCTCCCAACCTTATAACCTGCAGTACTGTACCACCCAGAGACTCCTGTTGCTGTGCCTCACTTTTAGAACAGACTTCCTGGCACTATTAACACCAGCCTAAGTAAAGCCAAATTTATCATGTCCACATGAGCATGGTGATTTGAACTTCTGTCTGTCCCTGAGGGAGTCAGCTTAGTCCTCCCTGGGCATTCTGAGCTTCTTCCCACTGCAAGCACCTGCTGCTAGGAACCCAGTAGATGCCAAGATCAGTTAAAGTTCCAACTCCAGTCATGCCAGCATGCTCACAAATTCCTCAGGGACACAAAAGGAAGTTATGGAAAAAAATCTAATTGTTGTTTGCTTCCACAGAGGAAACTTCGAGTCATGTAGCTACAACAGTGTCTTAGTACTACAGCACAGATAATTGATTAGTAGATAAAGAGAAATCCAGTTTGCTGTTCTAATTGGCATTGAAGTTAAAATACAGCTCTTTTTTGATGCTTCACTGGAAGGTGAGAAAAATTGCAAAATCATTTCAGCATAGGTCTGGCACCAGCAGTCTAAACGGACTTTTTTGGAGGCAGAATCTTGCTGTATAGTCCAGGCAGCCCTGCAACTCATGGTCTTCCTGCCTCCACCTCCCAAGTGCTGAGATTATATGTGTGCACCACTACACTTAGCAGCTAAAGTGCCATTTGTAAAGCTAAACATAATTGTAATTAGTTTGGATAGTAGAAAGGCTCAGGGATGGCATGGCCCAAAGCTTTGATGGAGAGTGTTCAAGCAGTGGAAGGTCTGTAAGGCTCCAGTGACAGAAGGTACTCATTGGCTTCCAGCCAAACTGAATCCATTACACCTGCTGAGTCTGTCTGAAGTTCATTTTTTTTCCTAGGGACTACTAACTGACCAACTGTCCAGATGTGCTATGGGTATTCTGCCACCTGTTTTGGAGAGACTGTGCATTTTTATTCCTTGCTGTGGGTGGGGAATTTTCCACTTTCCTCTGTTCTTTGGAATGAGTGTGGTGCTGCTGCACAGATTCACACTCACCAACAGCTTTCCTCTTTCTGCACTGCTGACTCATTTTCCCCTGATACTTGTTCATATGCAGCTTGCTGGAGTCCCTTTATCTCCCTTGCCAAGTGACAGGAAGCCTTTGCTGGGGTTTTATCCAGCTGTCCTTATTTGGCATCTTGGCAAAAGAGCCCCACTCTGCATTTGTGTAGAATTTACCCCTTTATTTCTATTCCTGCTTCTCAAGTGGAACCAGGTTGGCAAATGATAGAAAATTAAATTCAGATGACTTGTGATAAGAAATGTGTTTTGTGAAAAAGACCACTCAGTCATAAAGAATGCTCAGAATGAGATTATGCAAATTCATCTATTATCACGCCTTCCAATGGCACAGGCACTCTGAATTCTGAGGCAAGCCAAGGCAATTCTGGATGCTTTTTATTTATTTAATTTTTCTGTTGTAAATGAACTGAGGCTCACCAAAGCATAAAAGAAATTAGGTCTTCAAAAGGACCTTCCTTATAGTCACCTGTGCTTCGTAGTGCAATGGAGGTGATGAATAAATTTGCTTTGGCCTCATGATTTGTGGTTCCCATGCACTGTTGCAATGGAAATGGATGTCGTGCTTATTGATTTTAGGAAAACTGTGATTTGGAGAAGATAAAGCCTGAAGCCAGGAGATACTTAGAAAAGTCAATTAAAATGGGAAAAAGAAATGGGCTTCATCTTCCAGAACAAGTACAAAATGTAAGTTTACTTCCTTTTCTTTCAAATGAATACATAAAACAAAACATACATAGAAGAAACAGGGAAACTGATGGATTCTAATAAAAATAAGCCATAATACAAATCCATTTCCAACATATTTACTATTCAGTGCTTTAACTCCTACAGCTTCTTTTAACCTCATAGTGACTGACAAAGCTTTGATCCTGTCCAAGTTCCTTTTGTTTTTTTCTTGTGTGCTTGGCTTATTTCTCCTGCTCTACTTATATTCTTCAAGAGTCGATTCCAAGTCTCCATAGTTGATTTGTATTCTCCTTCCCTTTGTAGTCCAGAGATAGGGCAGTGGTAATAAAATCCTTACTGATGCGCTGGGAATGTGTTAGAGTGCTTGCCTAGCATTCATGAAGTACCACCATAAACAGAAAAAGTCAGTAGTGGTGCTGTAGCTCAAGTGATAGAGTGCTAGCTAGCCTTGAGCAAAAGAAGCTCAGGGACAGTGCCTAGGCCCAGGACTGGCAAAAGTAAATAAATAAATAAATTTTTAAAAATCTTTGCTGATGGAGAGTTTTTTTTTTTTTTTTTTTGGTCGGTCGTGGGGCTTGAACTCTGGGCCTGGGCGCTGTCCCTCAGCTCTTCAGCTCAAGGCGAGCGCTCTACCACTTGAGCTACAGCATCACTTCCGGTTTTCTGGTGGTTTATTGGAGATAGGAGTCTCACGGTCTCTCCTGCCCGGGCTGGCTTTGAACCGCGATCCTCAGATCTCAGCCTCCTGAGTAGCTAGGATTACAGGCGTGAGCCACCAGCGCCCGGCTCTGATGGAGAGTTTTAAAACCAGCATTTTGGAGTGGGACACACTATCATTGATGTTTGCCCCTTAAATGAATAGAGACCAGCTGTTGAAAAGTACGTCTCAACCCTTTTCTTTTGTTTAAGACCAATCAAGTATTCTGGGTTCAGCAGTAAACTTACTACAGAATTAACTTCATTCTTCTTTAACAGGAAATAGAATCTATAATTCATTTTCAGATTGTTCTTCTAGACACAAGACCCGAAAGTAAGCTTGAAAGAAACTCAAACTAGGCCCTAATTCGGTTATTTGATATCATCATGTAGACAAGAACTGAAGGTGCCACTAAAACATTGGTATCCTTTTACCACCTGAGTGCCCTTTGCAGCCTTGTGGCCTATTCATCCTAATTAAAGAAAAGGGGTTGATCTATCTTGCCTCACCTTTCATCTGCCTGCTCAGTCCTCTTGGGAATGTGAAAACTTAGTTACACTATTTTGATTGCTGCTAACAAAATCTCCTTTAGAAAATAAAAGAGGTTTAGTTGCTTGTGCAACTGGACAGTCCAGATGTTGATAGGCTTCATGGATTGGTCAGATCTCTATGCACAGGGATGTCATTGGCCACCTGATTTTCCATTTTTCATTGCGTCTTCTTAGTGATAGTATCATCCATCCAAAGGTTGGTTTTCTCTTACTGCTAGTGGGTTCTCTTAAGAAATTGCATTTGTGGGGGAGGGGAAAACTGGGAGAAAATGAGGGATGGGGGTGACACTGTTCCAAAAGAAATGTACTCATTACCTGACTTATATAACTGTAACCCCTCTGTATATCACCTATACAATAGAATTAAATAAAAAATAATAATTTGATGGGTGGGAAAAAAGAAATTGCATTTCTAATAAGTGCAAGTGATACTTCTTGAGCAGACCCACACTTTGAAATCAATGTGTACTAAGTAAATGTCATTATGTAACATTGCTAGAAGAAAGGGACAGATTAATGCAATTTGTTTCTTGTGTTTTTCTTCTGTTGCTTCATTTGATCTGCCACCTAGTATTTCTTATGCAAATGTTAGAATCCATAAATCCTCCTTCTCCCCAAAGAATTTATAAATCATTAGTGTTTTCAGTTTTTCTTTGTTTACTTCATCACCAGATACTAATTATTAAACTTAAATTTTGAATTAAAACAAATACGTTGATTGGAAATGAGCTACTGGATTTGTTCATTCACTCAGCAACTATTGTGTGTGTTTAATATGCTAGATACTGCTTTTACCATAACTTCTTAATTTGTCTAGTTCTTCATATAACTTTTTTTTTTTTAATACATGACTAGGTTTGTCTTTCTATAAGGTGTTCAAGACTGGGACAGCTGCTTGTTAAGCTTGTCACTAGACATGACTTCCCAAGAACAGGATCTAGTCTTCATATAAAACCTACTTCACTGTTTACAGTAAAAATGAGTATTTCCTTTTACTGTTAATGCTTTGCACATATTTTTTTTTTCCAGGAAATCAAATCAATGAAGAAAAGAATGAGTGAGCTATGTATTGACTTCAACAAAAACCTCAATGAGGATGATACCTTCCTTGTGTTTTCTAAGGCTGAACTTGGTAAAAAAAAAAAAAAAAAAAAGAAAAGAAAAGAAATTGTTATTTTGCTAGATTGTCATGTCAGTTAGGTAAATAATGTTACTTCATAGGTTACTATGATTTCCAGATGGAAAGCCTAAACCAGAGTTCAAAGAATCCTTTAAAAAATAATCTCATCACTCCAGCTAAAAAAAGACAACCAGAACAGCCAGAATTAGATTTTAGGCTAATAAGAGTATAATATTTCTAGATTCAGTCCAGAAGAGATTTCATTATATTTCCCCATAATTTCTCTTGGTAACTTACATTGGTGTTTATTATCCTTCAGATGTTTAACAATTTTTCTGCCCTGCAATGTCCCCTACATTGTAACTTAAATTGGTGTCTTCTTATTCAGTTCTGGATTCTTTGTCTCATTTATTTTGCCCTTCTCTCCATCAAAACATCATCCTCAAAGATCCACTGAAGTATATTCATATTGTGCATTACTATCTCCTGAGCCACCAGGCCTCTTAATGCTACCCCCACTTCAACAAAAATATTAAAATAATAATATTAGGACTTTTATTATTTTTCTTGAATTTCAGTCACCCCACCAAATTCCTAGACCTACTTAAAGGAACCATGCCAATTCTAAAGTAACCAATAATGAGTGGAAAAATTGATGTGTGAGAAAATGGTTTTTCACAGGTGCTCTTCCAGATGATTTCATTGACACTTTAGAAAAGACAGATGATGACAAGTATAAAATAACCTTAAAATATCCACACTATTTTCCTGTCATGAAGAAATGTTGTGTCCCTGAAACAAGAAGGAAGATGGAAATGGCTTTTAATACAAGGTGCAAAGAGGTACTATAAATGTTTTTCTTTCTATTGTTGTTAGGACTTGATTTTTTTTAGAACAACTATCAAAGTCAGCTCACAGACTGATATTCTGATTTCTGTTGGTATTATGCTTCCTAATTCCTCAGATCTGCAAGACTTTTTAGCTTTTTATTGCTCATTGGCACTCAGTGTGGCCAAGTAAGAAAGTGTGCAGGTAAGAAAAAAAAAGTCTAGACTAGATTAAATAAACTAAAAATTGTATTCCTCTCCTACATCAGCAGTCCAGGACTGGCAAGTATCTCTCCCTCCTCAACAAGTGACTTCCAAGGTTATTTCTGGAAATGACTATTCCCTAGCCTGTTGAGAAGGAGTAAAGGAGCACCAAGCTCTCATCTTTAAAGACAAGACCTAGAAATGGCATATGTCAACTCTATTTTTATCCCATTGACCCAAATTCCATCATAGAGGTATGTCTAGCTGCAAGGGAAGCTGGGAAATGTGAATTTTAGTTGACAACCATTTGCTCAGCTTAAAGGGTTTTATAAAGACAAAGAATGAGAACTAGATTCACAGGCTTCACTGTTCCACCATAGTCTTTCTCGCCACCTGTACAACCATAAGCACCCTTTTTTTTCCCTAAAAACATTTGTCAGTTCCCAGGCAGGTATTCAGGCCAAACTCTTAACACACAGTCCTCCTCAGTTGGAGGTTCTCATAATCTATCAGCCTATTAAAAAAAGTTAAATCTCCCATACCTTCAACCCACCCATAAGTAGAATAGGAAGAGAAAAATTCTAACAGTCATACCAGGGGGAGGGATGAACCTACCATTTGAGAAGGAAAGAATAGGAAAAATAGTGGTCATATAACAATTGTGAAAAAATGTTGGTCAGGAATTATAAGGATTCTTGTTCTAGGCAAGTCCCTTCAGTTAGTCCAAAGTTATTTGGATCAAGAATTCCTTTATCAGTTGCACTTTATGGTCCTTATTTTGCTTGCAGATACATCTTCACTGTTATCTTCCATGACCATATCTTAGGGAATTGCTGATATATAGAATTCCCCAGTGTGAAGTCTAAGGGTTATCCTACAGACCAAATAACCACAGGATTTTATAGGCCAGTGTTAACTATCATTGGTAATGAAACTCCTTGAAAAACTTAGTTTCTTGTCTGGTTGCTTATAATCAGTTGTATTATTAAATAAATACATACATTGTGTTTGGTCCATAGTCCTACCAATTTGAAAACACTGACCTCTGTATTTTGCTCATCCCATTTGTCTTCAAATGAATAGAGTTTGCTTTGGGCCCTTTGAAAAAGGCTGGAGAAGGAAGAGAGAATCTCAAACTAATCTCTGCCCTTCAGTAACTGAGTGACATTATTGATCCCCATGTTAAGAATTCAGAGCAATTGGCTTTTTCAGCCATCTGAAGCCCCAGAACCTCACCCAACAGAGTTATTTCCTTCCATTCTCCATCCTTCCATCTTTTCCCTCTTGCAAACTGGCCATCTCTGTCTATGTCCTTATCTTCCATCCTGGTACCTTGTTTGGTTTTTGTTTTAGCAGTACCCTTTTCCAGCTCCTAGTCTCCATATGTCAAGGTATAGGCTAAACAACTTTATAAGTCAGTGAAAAGTACAGAGATGACAAAAAAAATTACTTCTTGTGCTGGGGTTATAACTTAATGGCAGCTCTCTTGATGAGCATACATACATGAGGCTCTAGGTGTGATCTCAGCACTGCCAAAAAAAAAAAAAAAGTGAAAAAGTTATTTCTTTTCAGAAAGTAAGTTAGACACTAGGGGAGCCTGAAGAGTTACTATTAATGATCACTGAATTTTTTGAAGTAATGGAAAATCCTGGAAATAAATTGTATAATGGTGTGTAGCTATATCAATTTAATCAGTGTCACTGAATGTTACACTTAATAGATTAGTGACCAAATTTTGCCTGGCTATGGTGATACGCACCTGTAATCCCCGCTACTCTGGTGGCAGAGACAGGAAGATCACAAGTTCAGAGCCAGCCCAAAGTTAGCAAAATCCTATCTCAAAAACAAAATATATACAAAAGGGCTGGAGATCTAGGAAGCTCAAGTGGTAGAACACTTGTCTAGCATGTAAGTTTAATCCTTAGTTCCAGTAAATAAACAAATAGCATATTTAATGTTACTATACACTTACTATGGTTTTTTAGATATATTTCTCTTGCAACCAGCACTAAAAGAGAGAGCCCAGAGTGGGCTCTGCATTCTTCAGTATGTGATTTCCAGTGTCATTATTATTGTCATCTTTATTTCACAGCTAGCAAGGCAGACATCCACAAAGAGATAACCTAAAAATTTAACTTGTCTTTTCACATCCTTTGTCCCATTAAGTGTCACAAGTATATTTAAGAAAGGATAGGAAAGATCACAGTTCCAAGGTTGGTGTGGTAGGGCTCATCTGTAATCCCAGTATACATGAGGCTGAAGCATGAGGCTTACCAAAGGCCTCACCTGTTAGTAGCACCACAATACAGATTTATTTTCAGCACATGAGTGTTAAGAAGACATTTAAACCATAGGAAGTGTCACTAGGTGTATTTATGATCTTTTGCAACCATCACCACTGTCTACCCACAGAACTTTGTCATATTCCCTAACCAAAACTCTACTTGCTAAACACCAAGGCCCCATTTATTTCTGCCTCCAGCCTCTGGCAACCACCTTTGTAAATGCTACATAAATTTGATTACAATATTTATCTTTTTGTGATTGGTATATTTCTTTTTTTAAAAAATTTATTGTAAAGGTGTTGTACAGAGGAGTTACAGTTACATAAGTCAGGTAATGAGTACATTTGCTTTTGAACGGGGTTAACCCCTTGCCTCATTCTCTTCCAGTTTTTCCCCTCCTGATTTCCCTCCCACTCAAGTTGTACAAATAATTTCCAACATAGTATCTAATGGATTTCACTACTGAATTGGTTCACCCTTTGCCCCACCATTTCTGTGCTTCCCCTTCCCCACCCCAAATCAGATAAACTTATATGCTTATGTAAGTATATGCAGATATACTTATATACAAGACCAAGGGTACAGAAATAAAACAGTGACAGAAGGGAATAAACCAAAGAAAAAGGAAAGAAGAGAGTAAGAAAAAAAGAACTGAAAACAGTACAATAAAAATCTTCTTTCCATTTCTTGGAATTCATTTCAATAAGCATCATTTTATATGATCTTATTTACATAGCTATTGAGCCTTTGCAATCCTCTCCTAAAAAGTATCCTCCTTTGTTCTCACTGTGTGAAAGTCTAGACTGCTGTTTAATTAATACTGTCCAATTGTAATTATTTATCTTTTACTATCCATTGGGTTTACTTGTAGATTTATAGGCACATTCTAATTATTACAAAAGAGGGAAACCATGTAGCCTATGCTTCTTTGGGTCTGGCTTGCTTCATTTAGTATAATTTTTTTTCCAAGTCTTTCCATTTCCCAACTAATGAGGCAATGTCATTCTTTCTGATGGAAGCATACAATTCCATTGTGTATATGTACCACATTTTTTAATCCATTCATCCACTGAGGGGCATCTGGGTTGATTCCATATGTTGGCTAAAATAATGCTGTAGTGAACATGGTCATGCTGGTGGCTTTAGTGCAGCCTGGTTTGTGGTCATTTAGGTAAATGCCCAGGAGTGGGTCATAGAGAAGTTCTATGTTTAATCTTTTGAGGAATCTCCATACTGCTTTCCAGACTGGATGAACAAGTTTACACTCCCACCAACAGTGTAGTAGCATTCCTTTTGTCCTCATCCCTACCAGCAGCTCTTATTGTTCATTTTCTTGATAATGGCCATTCTAAAGGGAATCTCAATGTTGCTTTGATTTGCATTTCTTTTACAGCTAGAGATGTCAAACATCTCATCATGTGTCTATTGGACATTCTTACTTCTTTGGAGAAGTCTCTAAGTCTTTAGCCCATTTATTGATTGGGTTCTTTCTTTGAGGGTTTGTTTGGGGGAGGTTTAATTTTTATTTTATTTATTTATTTATTTATTTATTTATTGGTGATGGTGGGCCTGAGCACTGTCCCTCAGCTCTTCAGCTCAAGGCTAGTGCTCTACCACTTGAGCTGCAGCGCCACTTCCGGTTTTCTGGTGGTTTATTGGAGATAAGAGTTTCATGGACTTTCCTGCCCGGGCTGGCTTTGAACCTCGATCCTCAGATCTCAGCCTCCTGAGTAGCTAGGATTACAGATGTGAGCTACCAGTGACCGGCTAATTTTTTGAGCTCTGAGTATATATTAGATACGAGGCCCTTGTCTAATGCATAGCTAGTAAAGATCTTCTCCCATTCTGTGGGCTTTCTACTTATCTTGCTAACTATGTCCTTTACCATGCAAAAACTACTCAGTTTGATGCAATCCCATTTATGTAGTCTTTCTTCGATTTGTTGTGATTCTGGATCTTTACTTAGGAAGTTTCGACCTGTGCCAAGGAGCCATAATGTTTCCCCTATCCCTTCCTATCATATTTTCAGGGTATCTGGTCTATTGAGGACTTCTATCCATTTGGAGTTGATTCCAGTGCAGTATGATATATAAGGATCTAACTCCAGTTTGCTGCGTGTGCATAGCCAATTCTGCCAGCACCGTTGGTTGAAGAGCTGTCTCTTCCACCCTGTTTTTGGCTCCCTTATCAAATATTGGGTGGCTTTAGGTCTGTAGGTTCATTTCTGGGTCTTTTATTTCATTGGTCCTCTGGTCTATTCTTGTGTAACTGGCACATTTCACTTATCATAAATGTCTTAAAGGTGCATCCTTGTAGCCTGAGTCAATGTCCTTTTAAAGGTTAAATTATATTCCACTGTATATTTGTACTATGTTTATGGATCCATTCATCTGTCAATGGATACTTGGGTTACTCCCTCTTTTGGCTATTACAAATAGTGCTACTGTACTCTACAGAATATGTAACATTTATGTTCTCTTCTACAAAACACATGAGTTCCAATTTCTTTACATCTTTACTACCACATTATTTTGGATGGTGCATGAGTGCGTGCATGTGTGTGAGTGTGTAGAATAGCCATATACCTGGCTATGAAGTTAAAATGTGGAATTTTATATTGTATATATTTTACCATCATAAGCACAACCAAAACAGTTAACCTACTAACATTTGATATAGTTCTATCAGTGAGAAGCAATAAGGAATCACTATAATACTTAAAAGGCATGCTTCCTCTAAGTTTGAATTAGTTCTCTAAATTCATTCACCTCAATTACTGCCTTAACTTATAGTGATATGAATTATTTTAGGAGTAAAATCAGGAATTAAAAACTCAACACAGAAATGGAAGCAGTAGTTAAGGTGGTCTAAAAACATTTGAGTTTTTCACACCTAGAAATGTAACAACTTATTAGTACTTTGGGCCCAGCTAATGACTTGCTTTCCTTGTTGCTTGCTAGGAAAACACAGTAATTCTGCAGCAGCTACTCCCATTGCGGGCCCAGGTGGCCAAACTGCTCGGGTACAACACTCACGCTGATTTTGTCCTAGAACTGAACACTGCCAAGAGCACAAACCATGTGACAGCCTTTCTAGGTTAGTTCTTCTGTTAATGTCAGTTTTACCGTTTCCATTTCTTTGTTTCCTATGACTATCCCCTATGACTATCAGCAAAACCCTTGAGATCACCCTCCTTTTCATTCATTCAAGATAAATCTTTCGAATACCTGTTGTGTTAGTCTGAATTGGCTCTTCCCTTATTGTATTATTACTGTAGTCTTAAATTTATTCTAATATCTTTCTTTTGTGTATATGACTTGGGTTTTTTTGTTGTTGTTGTTTCATGATAGGGTCTTTGTGTATACTACAGGATAGCCTTGAACTCAAAATTTTTCTGTCTCAGCCTCCCTTGTTCCGAGATTACAAGCATGTGTCCCACTGTGCCTGATGTTTGTTGGGGATTTTTACATTAATTCCACATATGATATCCTGGGTCCTAACAGAGTGTCAACCCACTACCTTTCTTCACTGGTAGTTATAGAATGGCTACTTATGAATTTGTATGAAATAAGCTTACCTAGATGATATAAATAGAAACAGGATATATATTAACAAAAACTCAACACCTTGTCCTCCAGAAACCACTTGTTGGTATTTAAAGGTAGTATACAACAATAGTCATGAAAACTAGGCACTGGTACCTCATGCCTGTAATCCTACCTACTCAGAAGGCTGAGATCTGAGGATTGAAGTTTGAAGCCAGCATGGAGCAGAAAATCCATGAGACTCTTATCTCCAATTAACTACTAAAAAGTCAGAAGTGGATCTGTAGCTCAAGTGGTAGACTGCCAGCCTTGAGCAAAAAAAGCTAAGGAACAGTACCGAGACCATGAGTTCAAGCCCCAGTACTGGCACCAAAAGAGAAAAACAAAACAAAAAAAACTATCAGCTAATATTATATTCACTATTCGCATCCATTTCAGTCATTTTTATGAATCTTTAAAGCCACAGTTCTTGTCTGTGGTATTGAGTCCACTCTGGTCTTCTGCCATTCTTTCCCTATTCCCCTCTCAATTCAGGTGTTTATTTCAATAGTCTCTTTGACTTCTTAGCAAAAGATGGTTGAAAATTTTAGTCTTGGTGAAAGTACTAATTTTTGTTAGAATCATCTCTAATCAGAGTTGACAAAGTATGGTTTTTTTTACTGTCCTTGTTAACCTATTATTTCATACTTTATTCTCTTATTCTCTTTGAACAATTGGTCAAGTATTTAATGATTTGATATTTTATTAATACAAGCTACAGAAAACTAATAGTGTGTTAAAGTCAGCCTTTAATCTAAAATTTACTCCACTGCTTCCTTAATGATCATGCTTAAATATATGTGTGTGTGTTGTGTGTGTGAATCACATATGACTTGTAACAAATGCCCCATAAATATGTATTATTATATAATTCATTCATATTCTGAGGTTGATCCAAGGCCAGGTCCATAACTCTTTCTACTTCCCTCACAGATGATTTAAGCCAGAAATTAAAACCATTGGGTGAGGCAGAACGAGAATTTATTTTGAATTTGAAGAAAAAAGAATGTGAAGAGAAAGGTTTTGAATATGACGGGAAAATCAATGCCTGGGACCTGCCCTACTACATGACTCAGACAGAAGAACTCAAGTACTGCATAGACCAAGAGTTCCTCAAGGAATACTTCCCCATTGAGGTGGTCACCGAAGGCTTGCTGAATATCTATCAGGAGCTGTTGGGACTTTCATTTGAGCAAGTGACAGATGCTCATGTTTGGAATAAAAGTGTCACACTTTACACTGTGAAGGATAGAGCTACAGGAGAAGTGTTGGGACAGTTCTACTTGGACCTTTATCCAAGGTACTAAGGACCACAGTGTTAGCAGTGACCACTGCTCAGTTTAAAACGCTTCCCTTCTATAGTTCCTAGTGTGGTTCCTAGTAAAGAAGTGCAGTTTCCTTACCTGCATTTTAGGTATTAAAAATGGGAATGCTAGTGGCACCTGTTTTGTAGAGATTGTGAAAATTAGTGTGTTGTAGCTGCGTGTGGTGGCTCATGCTTATAATCCTAGCTACTCAGGGGGCTGAAATCTGAGGATTATAGTTTGAGGCCAGCCCAAGTGGGAAAGTCCATGAGACTCTTCACTTAACCAGCAAAAAGCCAGAAGTGGTGCTATGGCTCATGTGATACAGAGCTAGCCTTGAGCAAAAATTTAAAAAAGGTCAGAGACAATGCCCAGGTCCTAAGTTCAAGCCCCAGGATTAACGCATGCGCACGAGCATGCTTGAGTACACACACACACAAATTAGTTTGTTATATGTAATACATTTGGAAGACTGCCTAACACATAGCAAGTGCTTAATAAGCTTCAGCAGCTACCATCATCATTGCCATTGACAATGTGTACTTATTTGAAATCAGAGGCTCTGGTGGCTCATACCTATAGTCCAAGCTACTCGTGAGTGTTAAGATCTCAGGATCTTGCACTGGCTTGAAGCCAATCTGTGCAAGAGAGTTTGTGAGACTACTACCTCCTATTAACTATCAAAAAGCCAGAAAAGGAGCTGTAGCTCAAGTGGTAGAGCACCAGGCTTGATTGAAAAAGCCAAGTGAGAATGTGAGGCCCTGAGTTTAAGCCCCACTATCAGCACATGCAGAAAACATTTCATTTGAAATTGCTCCCATAATGTTTAGTGCTGTATTCAGATCATCTTTCTTCTAGCCTTCTTAGATTTATGACCATTCTGCTCAATCTTGTTGACAGCCAGCACAGTATAATCTTGAGTGACATAACCTCCTGTAATATGGGACTGGTTATCATTTCACAGGACTGTGAGTATTAAAGACTTTAGATGCAAATTGTGCAGCCATAGTTCAGAGGTTTAAACATTGTTTCTGTAGTGTATGCTACTAAGGACTCCAAAATGTTTCATCAGACAAAAAAGGATATGGATCTCTTTCTCCACAGGCTGCTTTCTAAAACAACCTGCTAATCTATTTTATAAATAAAAAAGCCATGATAATGTCACTTAAGTTGAGTAACTCCTCTGATTTTGTATTCTTGAAAGGAGGCTAGATAAGTGTCATCCACATGATGGCTGAGGTGTCCGTAAGTATCTAGGTGATTCCAAAGGTCTGTGGACTTATTTTCCACTTATGATAAAACCTAAAAATAAAACCTCTCACTGGGCGCTGGTGGCTCACGCCTGTAATCCTAGCTACTCAGGAAGCTGAGATCTGAGGATCACGGTTCGAAGCCAGCCCGGGCAGGAAAGACCGTGAGACTCCTATCTCCAATAAACCACCAGAAAACCGGAAGTGGCGCTGTAGCTCAAGTGGTAGAGCGCTTGCCTTGAGCTGAAGAGCTGAGGGACAGCGCCCAGGCCCAGAGTTCAAGCCCCACGACCGACAAAAAAAAATAAATAAAACCTCTCAAGTGTGGATGGTTGTATTTTCCCCATATTTTTTATTAGTATATGTGAAGTATACAGTGTGTGTATGTGTGGGGGGGTGTCATTCACTTTGATCATACTCACCCCCTTTGTTACTCTTTCTTCTCCCCTTCCTCTTACCTTCCAAGTTTGTTTTTGTTTTTCTTTTTGAGTCCAGGGCTTCATGTTTACTGGATTGGCACTTTACCAGATGAATTTCACCTTCAGGCCTAATTTTTGTTGGTTATTTTTGCAACAGAATCTCACTGCCAACCATCGCATGCTTCTGAGCCACAGTGTGCCAACTTTAGGCTTCCTATCATTTCTTCAATCACACTCTTACATCAGTATGTCCAACTTCTTCTGAGGAAATAGAGTCTCATGAACTTTTCTACATAGGCTGACCTGAACCTTGATCCTCCTAATCTCAGCCTTCCAAGTAACTAAGATTACAGGCTCATGCTCAGTGTTTACTGTGTTGCATTGTAACCTTTTCCATACGTACGCAATGTACTTTGATCATATTCTTCCCTTTTGCCATTTTTTTCTCCTCACTTGTTCCTTGTCCTACTTCCAAATAGTTCCATATATATTTCTATTTATTTCTTAAGGAAAAGAAATCCACTTATGAAAGGACACATGCAATATTTTTTTTTCAGTCAGTCCTGGGGCTTGAACTCTGGGCCTGGACGCTCTCCCTGTGCTCTTCAGTTCAAGGCGAGCGCTCTACTGCTTGAGCCACAGCACCACTTCCGGTTTTCTAGAGGTTTATTGGAGATGAGTCTCTCAGAGTTTCCTGCCCTGGCTATCTTTGAACCGTGATTCTCAGATCTCAGCCCCCTGAGTAGCTAGGATTACAGGCATGAGCCACTGGCACCCGGCTCATGCAATATTTTTGAGTCTGACTTCTTTCTTTTTTTTTTTTTTTGCGTCCTGTCGTGGGGCCTGAACTCTGGGCCTCGGCGCTGTCCCTCAGCTCTTCAGCTCAAGGATAGCGCTCTACCACTTGAGCCATAGCACCACTTCCGGCTTTTTTCTTTTTGGTTATGTGGTGCTGAGGAATCGAACCCAGGGCCTCATGCATGCAAGGCAAGCGCTCTACCACTGAGCCACCTTCCCAGCCCGAGTCTGACTTATTTCATGTAACTTAATCCCTTAGTTTTTTCCTTCAAGGCTGGTGCTCTACCACATGAGTCACAACTCCACTTCTGGCTTTTTGGTTGTTAAATGGAGATAAGAGTCTTACAGGCTTTACTGCCCAGGCTAACTTCAAACTGTGATCCTTGGAAATCAGCTTCCTCATTAGCTAGGATGAGCCACCAGCGACCACAGAGGATAATTTTATTTATTTTTATTTTTTGTTTTTTTTTTTTTTTGCCAGTCCCTGGGCTCCTTTTGCTTAAGGCGAGCATTCTACCACTTTGAGCCACAGCATCACTTCCAGTTTTCTGGTGGTTAATTGGAGATAAAAGTCTCATGGACTTTCCTGCCCAGGCTGGCTTCGAATGAAAATCCTCAGATATCAGCCCCCTGAGCAGCTAGGATTATAGGCATGAGCCACCAGCACCCAGGTTTAAGAATAATTTTTTTTAAGGAGTGGCAGGAATCAAACTCAGGTCCTTCCTCTGCCAGGCAAATGCTATGTACTACTAAGCTCCATCTCCAACCAAAGATGGTCATTTCTATTTTGGTTTAGTGATTCTTTTCTTGGCTGGGTCAAAGCATTCTTTATCTGTTGCTATGTTTTTCATTCCTAGCCTTTTCACCTGGATTGTTTCTTATAGTTTCTAATGCTGCCCAAATTAGCCATCTGTCCATGCAAAGCATCTACTTTTCCTCCAGATCTTTAGCACAGGATTGCTGGTTGTTTTAAATAGCTTCAGCATTTTTGTCATATCTGAACCTGGTTGTCTTGCTTGCTTTACTTCTTGACCATTGTTTTTGTTGTTGTTGTTGTTTTGTTGTTCCTTACATCTTTATGTACCTCACAAGTTTTTTGAAAGCCAGACATTTGTATAGGACAATAAAGACTGAGGTAAATTGCTGGATGCCTAAAAATGATCACCTTTGCTTGTGCTGAACTTTTAATGTGAGATGTTAACTCATAGTAGTCAGCTGGATTAGAGATCTATTGCTGCTGTGGTTAAATTCAGTGAGCTATAAGCTACAGACTCTTCTGTAGATTTAGGGTAGGAACTGAATTTTTTTAGTTTTTCTCAGTTTCTGTTCTACCTTACTATGTAGTCTTTTGCTTTGTTCTCAGCCTCCAAACAGGTCTCTGTAGAAGTTCTTGCTCTTCCCAGCAGTGGACTCCTATAAAGTGTTACTGGATACTTGTTAGTCTGGTTAGGGAACAGAAATTCTGTGTCTCTGATTTTGCAGCAGTCTTAATCACAGAATGGGCTGTCATTGTGTCTTAGGAATGGGGCCTGTTCTGTGACCTGCCTTATCCTCCCTCAGCTTAGTCCTCAGGCCATGATGTACTCTGCCCCTCCCCCAGCACTCTCTTCTCCCCACATAGCAGTGGGGTTTCTCCAACTACAACAACAATAGGGGTTCTTGCCCTTTGTCAGGGGAAATGTGAGTCTTTTATTCTATAGGAGACAAATAAAAAGCATCTAAGCAACACTTTAAGCTCTCACATAGCAGCTGTTCCTTCCCTCACAGATTTTTTTTTCACCCTGTCCTTCATATTTTATGTGCCAATGCAGTGTTGAAGACAAGCCTAGAATTGGATGTAAATTTTCCATCTACTCCCTCATGCTTCCCTAGCCCTATATCAGCCATCCTCAGCAATTTGCTAAACTCTCTTCTTACTGATGCCTTCAGTATCTATTCTGGGTTTTAAATGCATTTATAAAAGTCTTGCTTCTTCCCCTCTCCTAGGAGGCCCATCCTAGACAAGAGTTACTTGATTGCTCCTCAAGATCAAATCTCTGATAGGGTCAGAAAAGTTGCCATTTTCAGGTTGTCCACCCAAAATCTGAACGACCTGTTTAGTAGCTGATGGGAGAAAAAAGGAAATATAATCCTAGACTGTGATCAGTATCATATCACTTTTGTAGAGCCCATCACTGACACTGTTACCAAAAATAAATGGCTTCATAGTATAATTTATGCTTTTTCCCTAGACTAAAAGTCTGAAAAGGTTTATCTAGTCTTTGTTTTGCTTTTAAGTAAACAATTGTGAACACTGAGTCTTCCTTCCTAAATGAAAGGAAAAACTTTCCTATCTGGGTTTAGTTTTTCATTGATTCTAACTTGTAGTGGGGAAAAAACCTAGTGTGTGTCTTTTATTTTAAATTTGCTCATTAAAATGTACTGGATAAATCTAGATATAGCTCAGTGGTAAAGTGCTATCCTAGCATGTATGAAAGCCAGGGTTCCCTCTCTTAGCTCCATATGTACACAAAAAATAATAAGATTTTTTAAAAAATCAGTTAAAAAGCAGTGGTACTAGACACTATGTTGAAAATGAACTATACAAGTTGTGGATGGGGATGGGACATAAAAACTGGGAGAGAGCAAAGGAAGGGATGACATTGTCCAAAAGAAATGTACTCTTTGCCTGACCTATGTAACTGTAACCCCTCTGTACATCACCTTTATACTAACAATAAAAATTAAATATAAAATGTTTAAAATCATTTAAAAACTCAGTGTACCCTGGGTGTGGTGTGCATTCTTTTTATCTTAAGATTTTTGAACAGAAGAAACCTTGGAGGTAGATCTCACCAAATTGATAGGAAGGTTACTGTTTGCTTAGTTCTCCTTTTTACTTTTTAGCAGAACGGCCTGCTTTCTATAAAGTTAATTAAATGTTTTAGTGTCTTTGGTGTCAAATAGGCCTTAGTGACTAAGAGAGACCATGATGATGTTGTTGTTAAAAAACAATCTTTATTTCTTCTCTCTATGTATTTCCAGGGAAGGAAAATACAATCACGCAGCCTGCTTTGGTCTCCAGCCTGGCTGCCTTCTCCCTGATGGCAGCCGCATGATGTCTGTGGCCGCCCTCGTGGTGAACTTCTCACAGCCAGCAGCAGGTCGACCCTCACTCCTGAGACACGACGAGGTGAGGACTTACTTCCATGAGTTTGGCCATGTCATGCATCAGATTTGTGCACAGGTGAGTGATTTTATTATGGTAAACCAACCAATAGCTCTGGTTTTTTTTTTTTTAATGTTTTGTGATCTTAGGTTTTTTCCCTTTACGTGTCTTTTCAAATACAAACACATTGAAGAATTTCATAAGGCTGCAGAGACCCCAAATTTTCCTTTTCACGGCTTCTTTCACAACCTATTTTTACTCAGTTTAGTCCACTAATCAAAGAACTTCGTTGGCTACCCACTTATGGAGGAGGAAGTAATACTATCATTAAGGAAGGGTTAAAATACTGTGCTCTTTGCCTTTAATTCCTCTCCATAGGAATTTGGTATAAGCCTCACAGGTAAACAGCTATCATCTCTCTCTTCTGGTTATTAATACTTCATTTAGTTCAGTTGTTTCCAGCCCTCTCAGACCCTTTCTCCTTTTCTAATAATATATACTTTGTAACACCTCCCTTTACTAACCTCCAATTAAAATCATAGATAATATATCCATGCAGAGAATTTTCCAGAGAAAAGATAAGTGTGTACAGTAGATTAAAACTATTTATTATTGCTGGAAATGAAAAGTATACTTATTTCAAGGCCCATCGTTACATCATTAAGCACACACACAAAACAAAAACATTTATTTTCAAGTTTGTAACACAGTTCACTTAACTAGGCCTAAACTATTCCGATCTGAACCTTATAAACTTGCTAATATTTAACCTTAGCACTAGTTAGCAATAGTTTGTTCACTTGCATGAGTAAACATTTGAATGAGAAGCAGAGTTAAGGAACAGCTCATTCATTTTGTCTTCCTGAAGTATGTTGGATGAGTTGTGGCCATCTAGCCTCCTCCACCATGAGAATAGCCTCTAATTATTAATCTAAGCAATAGCTATTCATTTCCTAGGTGCTGCTGTCACTTTTTTTTTTGGGGGGGGGGGGGGTCTGGTCATGGGCCTGAACTCTGGGCCTGGGCGCTGTACCTCAGCTCTTCAGCTCAAGGCTAGCGCTCTACCACTTGAGCCACAGCGCCACTTCTGGCTTTTTTTTCTGTTTATGTAGTGCTGAGGAATCGAACCCAGAGCCTCATGCGTGCAAGGCAAGTGCTCTACCACTGAGACACCTTCCCAGCCCTCTGCTGTCACTTTTGTTCCAGAGTTTGTTGGATCTTTCAGCATTCTGGTGCTTCCACCTTTTTTTTTTTTTTTTGTCGGTTGTGGGGCTTGAACTCTGGGCCTGGGTGCTGTCCCTCAGCTATTCAGCTCAAGGCTAGTGCTCAACCACTTGAGCCACAGTGCCACTTTTGGTTTTCTAGTGGGTTATTAGAAATAAAGAGTTTCACGGACTTTACTGCCAGGGCTGGCTTTGAACCACAATCCTCAGATCTCAGCCTCCTGAGTAGCTAGGATTATAGGCGTGAGCCACCGGCACCAGCTGCTTCCATTTCTTTTTTTTTTTTTTTGTCGGTCGTGGGGCTTGAACTCTGGGCCTGGGCGTTGTCCCTTAGCTCTTCAGCTCAAGGCGAGCGCTCTACCACTTGAGCTACAGCGCCACTTTCGGTTTTCTGGTGGTTTTATTGGAGATAGGAGTCTCACGGTCTCTCCTGCCCGGGCTGGCTTTGAACCGCGATCCTCAGATCTCAGCCTTCTGAGTAGCTAGGATTACAGGCGTGAGCCACCAGCGCCTGGCTTCCATTTCTTAAAAACAGGGCTAGCCTGGGTTTAATTCCTCAGTACCACATAATCAGATAAAGCCTGAAATGGTGGTGTGGTTCAAGTGATAGAGCTGAAGAGCTGAGGGACAGAGCCCAGACCAAGAGTTCAGGCCCCACATCTGACAAAAATAAATAAATTAAAACAGGGCTATGCTGAAAAACGAACTTTACAATTTAGGTGGGGATGGGGTGGGGTGGGGGGAGAGGGTGAGTGTAGTTGAGGAGGTGGGAGGGAAGGGATGGTAGTAACAAAACAAGGGAGGCAACAATGCTTGATAGGAAATGTACTCATTACCTTGCTCATGTAACTGTAACCCTTCTGTACAATATTTTCACAATAAAAAACTTACTTAAAAACACACACACACAAAAAAAAAAAAAAACAGGGCTAATGTATCAAAGTTCCTAAGCTTGTGCTTAGACCTCTCAGAGTCCTGGATTCCATCCCAAGCCTCAAAAATGTTTTTGAGTGAATGAATGAGTAAATGAAGGAACAAATTAATGAAAATAAAATTGGAATCTATCCAGAAAGATAAGCCCATAGATGGCCATTTCCAGAATAATCTAAAATTTCTTTTTTATATTATCTTTAAAGTTAGCAGTGGGTTCTAAAAATAATTTCTCATGGAGAACTTCCCAGAGTGTATATTCTGTGGCTTGACAGTTTCTGTAATTAGAATAACTTTAGTTTTTGTTTTTCTGAAATAATTTGTGAGTAATTTAGAAAAATCCAAATTTTTTTGAATTTTAGAGTTATGGGATATCAGTTAGAGTAAGTAAGTCCTAGGTGTGCATTTGTACACAGATGAACAGCCATCCTTTAGAGTAGTCAGTGCTGCCAATTTTTCGATCCAAAGACCCTGTGAAAATCTGATTTAAGATGTATATACCTGTTCCAGAATAATTAATATGTACTCCTATACCCAAAATTATACATGAAATTCCAGAGGCTAACAGAGCCTAGATCCCAGACCATAATGAATCCCAAGTTAAGAACTTTTTTTTTTTTGGGGGGGGTGGGGGGGTCTGGTCATGGGGCCTGAACTCTGGGCCTGGGCGCTATCCCTCAGCTCTTCAGCTCAAGGCTAGCACTCTACCACTTGAGCCCCAGTGCCACTTCCGGCTTTTTTTTTCTTTTTGCTTATGTGGTGCTGAGGAATTGAACCCAGGGCCTCAGGCATGAAAGGCAAGCGTTCTACCACTGAGCCACCTTCCCAGCCCCTAAGTTAAGAACTTCTTATGCAAGTTTCCTCCTCAATTTTGATGATTGCCTAACAACGTCACAATGGGTATTTTAGGGGCTGGAGGCATAGTTCAGGTAGAGCACTAACCAGTGAGCAAAAGCATCAGATACCGAGTTTGAGTCCCAGTCTTGGACAAAAAAAGTGAGGGGGTAGGATAATTTGATGTGACACTTATTAAAATATTAGTGATCTTAGTTGGGTGCCAGTGGTTCATTCTTCTAACTACTCATGAGACTGAGATCTGGAAATCACAATGCAAGGCCAATACTAGTCAGAAAAGTTTACCAGACTCCCATTTTCCAAACAACCAGCAAAAGCTGAGCTACAGACATGACTCAACTGGTTGGGCACTAGCCTAGCAAGTGGGAAACTCTTGAGTTCCGGCAAATCCCAGTAAAATAGTGATCTTCCAATAGAGTTTTCATTTGTTTTTTGTTTTGTTTTATTCTGGTCATAGGGCTTAAACTCGGGGCCTGGGTGTTTTCCCTGAGCTTTTTCCAGTCATGGCCCACACTCCGCCACAGCTTCACTTCTGGCTCTTTGGTGGTTAATTGGAAATAAGAGTGTTATAGACTTTCCTGCCTGGTCTAGCGTTGAACTTTGATACTCAAATCTCAGTCTCCTGAATAGCTAGAATTACAGGCCTGAGCCACCAAGGCCCAGCTTCATTGTTCTTAGTAAAAACTTTCTCAAGTATACTCCTATAACCTTTTTTTTTGGGTCCGGTCGTGGGGCCTGAACTCTGGACCTGGGCACTGTCCCTCAGCTCTTCAGCTTAAGGCTAGTGTTCTACCACTTGAGCCACAGCGCCACTTCCGGCTTTTTTCTTTTTGCTTATGTGGTGCTGAGGAATCGAATCCAGGGCCTCAGGCATGCAAGGCAAGCGCTCTACCACTGAGCCACCTTCCCAGCCCTACTCCCATAACCTTAATCATAATACTCAGATCTCACCCTTCTGAGTAGCCAGGATTACAGTCATGAGCCACTGCTGCCCAGCAATTTAACTTTTTTTTTTTTTTTGACTCTTTGAGGTAGTTACTGTAGCATTGGAAAATATTTCTTGGTACTATGACATTTTAGTACTCTGACTCAAAACTAAGCTGCTAATCTATACTGCATTTGCTCCATCTCTCCCTCTTTCCCAAACAATAGCTATATTCAATTCTTAAACTTTTGCCTGCCCTCATTCATGAGTATGAAATGTGGTCGTCTCAGTGAGTGGTGTACTAGAACCATCCTTGGCTTGCTCATCTCTTTATAAGATTGTCTTTGAAAATCTCATTGTCCATATATCTACTCAGATGCCATGTACTATTTTAATAATGTTTTTATATACTCTCATTTAGAAGCAATGACCACTACTTTGTCTACTGAGGCCACAGGTCCACATATTTCTAAGTTTATATGGTGAAACCTTTAGTACTGACCTACAATGGATGGTGGAAAATAATATCATTCATACTGTCTATATTCAATAATACTTCTGACTTACCTAAGGAGCATATAATGAATGAAAAATTTGCCAAGATTAGTTTTAAGATAGGGGATCTCAGCGTTGGAGTTCTGTGTTGTGACAGTCTGCACATCTGGTGACCAGAAGAGCTTGTTTGAGCTTGTCACAAAAGCATATTAATGTGTTGGCAGGAACTTCCAGTTTTCAAACATGTAGATGCACTAGATCAATATGTCTACTGTGTCATCACTTCAGAGTTGAGTTTCACTTGTATTTTCTTGTGTTTACACTGCAGAGTAGGTAATTTGGAAGATAGCAATTAGGGCATAGTATCTCCAGTATCTGTTACTGACTTGTGTCTTTCTTGTGTTTTGAGCTCTCAATAATCTCTGGCAAAAAAAAAAATAATAATCTCTGGCTTTCTGAACTTGTAGAGACCACAACAGTCATGCCTCCCAGCAGCCTGAGTCGTAGTGACTTTGTAGGGTCATTCATTAAGTGTAGTTTTGAATTAAAAACAAGTAATTATCCTAAGGAAACACCGGAATCACAACCATTCCTTCAAATAAAAGTGAAAAATTTCAGAGTATGTGACTAGCAATAATCTCTTGTTTTTC